ACAAATTACGAGAAATCAGTTTTGTGAAAATTACGTGAAAATGGACAGTAGTGTAATCATGATGAGCAGTGATGACGATATAATTCTAACTCCTCCGGATTTTACGTGCATTGCTAATTTTGTCAATTGTTTGATGACATAATACAACCATTATGCATAATGTTATTATTACTGTAATTATTGAATACAAGTAGAAAAAGTATAGTATTTAACTCGTGAGAAAGGCATTGCCAACTTTCTCACTCGTTGAATAATATACTATAACTTGGTTACAGGTAAAACATCCATTTTTTAATGTTAGAATTGTTTATGACAAATTGCAATTTTTACAGAATGCATTCGAAGAGTTACAGTCACACATCGTGAAGGATGCCGCTCCATCAGATCGCGTTGGAATTACTCTAAGAAACCCGAATTATCCTGACAAACCGATTGGCGTTTCATTTAGAAGAGTGGACCAGTTGTCGGTGAGCTTAATTATGTCATTACTTGAAAAAGTAATGCAGAGCAATGCAATTTTTTTCTCAAATGACGTGTTAGTTTTAAACGTGGATCAAGTGACGATACCTGTTGGCTATGGGCGTAAATACTTAACGGGGTTGAAATTTGAAGATTTTAGCAAAGCCAAACGACAGGGTATTATTTGTTGTACCAACTCCAGTTAATGAAAACAATTGTTTAGCTCGCGCCCTAGTCCTAGCAATAGCGTTTAGAAATAATGATCCTATGCGTCATGGTATGCAGATGGACAGTCCTTTACTTCAAACGCGAGCCGTGCAACTTTGCCTAAATAGCGGAGTAGATCTTAGTCGGGGCGGTAGCTACAACCATATTCAAACGTTTCAAAATCATTTAGCTTCATATGCAATCGTAGTTTATAAGTAGTGAATGGGGGACTCTACTTTGAGGGCCCTAGGGAACCGGGTAGAATAGTTTTAAATTTAATATTAGAAGACGAACACTATAACGTCATAAGTAGTTTGACTTCGGCATTTACTTGTGGGTATTTTTGCGAACAGTGCAGAAAACGTTATAATAAGAAAAAAGATCACGCTCGTTGTCTGTATCAGTGTCCTTGTTGTCACGAAAAACCGCCGTGTAGGGTACATGACAGTGGAAAAATAATAACCAAATTTCTGTTTCATAAGATAGAGTAAGGTGCCAGGGTATCGCAAAATAACTTTATTTGGTAATGTACACAAGAAATTATTATATTTTAGTAAAAATAAAATTTAAAAATAACGACATTTGTCATGTGATATCAAACGCCAATCAGAGCGCGTGACGTCATTATCCTAATTGGCGGTTCAAGCAGCGATCTTCTGTGCGTTTTTAGCGTTTGCCTACGTCTTTTAATTTAGTGCTTGTTCAATTTTATAGTGATTATATTATCCTAAAGTTTAGTTTTTTAAACCAGATAAGAATGGAAAGTAGGTATACGAGAGCTGATAGCAGCAAATCTGCCAAAAATTGATGTAATGATGTTGGAAATATTTCTCGCACCCAACAAAGATTTTTCCTCATTAGAATTTAGAAATAGTAAAACTGCCATATAAGTTTTGTAGGTTTTTAAGTTAAACTTAGATTTTTTGCAAGAAATGTAGTTACTTAAGAGAAATGTGTACAGATGCTTTGTTTTTAGGTCATCGAAGCTATCATATGAAGATGATTCAGTAAGATAGGTCTCTACGTAAGCGCAACTTTTTCACATTACTAACATTTTGTAGATAAAGGTCTAAATTTATAAAATAGTTCTTTAAAAAAATTTTTTTTTTAAAACAACTTGAGTTTTTATGGCGGGCGCTCTTATGGCAATTTACATTGGGTGCAGTCGTACAGAAGACTCTTAAGCGTGATTGCAACTTATGCACAGTTAAGTCAAAATTTGCCCGGAACATAAGGTTCACGCAAAGCTGCATGCCGTTTCTTTAGTTTTCGACGAAGAAACCGACCCCAACTTGCCATCCCATATGCGGGTTCTTGTGAATACAAAATAAAGCTTACATCAAAGTGGTCCTCACAAAAATAGTGTTGTTTTTATTGAATACGCTGGGTCTCGACATGCAAGTTGTAGCCACTTTTTCCGTATGGCTTCTTTTTTGGGTACGGATATAAACAATTTATTTGGTGTCTAATTTAATATACTTCCAGCAGTAGTAGTAGTCTTCATATAATTGCGAAATGCAGCTAACACTTATATATCCCTTCGGATTTCAATTGCTGCTCCAGTAGAACCATGAAAAATTTCCCCGGAAAATAATACCCACAAATTATTCTCTTGGCTCTACCATTAAGCTACTTTTACACATCCTCAGAGTCCAAACCCTATTAAGTGGACTGGAGTGGTCAGTCCCTAACGCTTTCCACAACCCGGAGTACTAGTGTCGATAAAGTCTCCTTTATCACGTGTAACAAGTCATGATCTAGTCGGATTATTCGAAACTCTACTCCTGTATCGGCAAATGGCCGAATCGGAATCGAAAGTTGTTCAAAATGCCGTCTACCGCACACCTCAGGAGTTAACGTACGTGAAAAATGAGCTACTCATGTCAATATAGTTTTCTATATTACGTTTAATGAGCAATCGTCGAGAATCCTTTTGGATTCCTCTACTCTATGAAGCATTTGAGTGATACAGCATCCTTTGAACCGGATTTACTTGAATCGGGTAGCAGGGATCAGACTTTATCCATGGAGTCATAGCAATCACCCGCCTGGGATACTTAGCTGCGCCACATGTCTATGTGTACATCATGGTAGGGCACCACTTATAGTATAGTAGTTGCAATTCATCACGAAATCTTTTAAACTATTTACGCTGGGGTTGTGTTTATAACTGTCAGGACTGTGACGTCACAGACACCGCCATGACACAAAACAGCGTTTTGGCGCTAAAATAAAAACCTACAATTCAAATTGCATAAATTTGCAATAATATGGTTTATTTTGCTGTAATATCATATTTTAAAGTTATAGTGGAGGTATACGAACAGTTATAACCGGTTTTAAAAAATTTGTCATCTACCCTATTGTTTGCAATGATTGCAAAAGAGATTTTCACGGGCAGGAATGTTCAAAGAACCGCAAGGACACGAAGCTATGTGAAAAATTGCATAGATGTTTGAAGTGTCTTAAAACCACTGAAGTAAAAGGTAAACATAGATGTGGTTACAGCTATTGTCCCACTTGTAAAGTTGTAAAACGTATTGGACATCTTTGCTACATGCCTGTCAATAAAGGTCGTAGCGACAGCAGCGAAGGTAAACCATCTATGTTTATCTTTTATGATTTGGAATGTATGCAAGAGAAGGTGTGTGAGGGGGCGAATGGTCGATTTCTGCTGTAAGATATCCAACTATGATACTTTTTATAATCATTTTAGGTAGCAATGATGAAAACTATTTTCGTGAAGTTCTGTGAGATGCCGCCACCTACCTTTCCGATCATATCAAATACCACTTCCCGTTAGTCCCTTCCCGATTACCATTTCCACATATTCCCCCAAACGTAACCAGCCGTTGAATATACACGCCTACTTTAAGAGGATGAAGTGGAGCTTCCTGATAGATATGTGGATTTTCTGCACTCCAAGTACGATAGTTTTGCGAATTCACATAGCCACTTAAATGAAACCATGGGCCGTATGAATATAAGTAAGCAAATGCTTATACTTGCAAAATTCAAAGTAAATACTCGTAAGTGCTCCTTCGCACTGGGCGACTTAGCAGCGCTTCTATGCAGAAGGACAGGATACAGTGCATCGCTGCTAAACCATGCTAAACAGACCAGTATGAAGGGGCAGTTACGAGTATTTACTTTGAATTTTGCAAGTATAAGCATTTGCTTACTTTTATTCATACGGCCCCTTGCTTCGTCAGAAAAATAAGTCTTGTCCAATATGTTGTTATCTCGTAAATTTGCATTAAACCAATTGCAATAATTTACACGGGTTTGCAAGTCTGGACGACGTAGTTCTTGTAACACAGTTACTCTGTAAGGGTAAAAGTGCAATTTTCTCCGGACAATAGTGTGACACGTTCCGTATGAGAAGCCTGTTTGTTGGGCCAATTGTGGCAACGGCTTTTTGAGACTTTGTTCAAGTCGAGCACGAACATCTTCTACAACCTCCTCATTGGCAATCACTGGGCGGCCAGGTGACTTCCCAGAAGCAACACTCCCGCTCAAGTACACGATGAACATTTCGACGTATATTGTTGTAATCTTCATTATTGTCCGGATAAGTTTCTCGAAACTCTTGTAAACACAAACGGATCGAGTACACCCAAACTCCATTTTCGTCTTTAGTCCCATTACGGAAATAGGACTGCAAAAACATCTTATTTTCTTCTAACGTAAAAGGCATGCCAGAGAACACCTATTACACGCTACAATAAAAAAAACGTTTATTTACAATTCAAAAAGTCATTTACCCACCTTGTAAATATTCGAAAGAAACTGGTAGGCTTGAAAAAGGCTGTTTTGGAAAGGGCGAAAGTAATAGGAAGAGAAGATTGTGCAGGAAAATACGTAAACGAGCGAAAGGAGAATTGAATTATAGGTTATGTTTATTGTTTAGTATTGGTACACATATACCTGGCTGCGGCAAATGATTGCTAATGTGATATTTTATAAGAGCGGCGCAGCATATAATTATTGATCTCCCTGTAGTATACACTTTCCGAATTTAGTCATAAAAATATTTTTTTATTAAAAGGGACGAAAAATTTGAATTTTAAGAGTAGCAAGTGCGGTTTTTACAAATGACAATAATTACACCTTATGGTTAGACAATTGTTCTAACTTCTCATGCGCACCTTTTGCCACATATTCTTCGGGGTTTTTCACTTACGTTGAAAAAGTTAAGCATTATTTATCTTCCCTTTTGGTGTGTGAATGGAAATGACAAGGAACATACGTATACTATAACCCTTTATTACTATCATTATTATTATCTATTATTATGGTACAATATTTACAAATTATTAACTAAAAATGTCATCAGCTTATTTATGTATTCCACCTCCCCCTGTATCGCTGCTTCATTTTCGCGTGAAGCAGCCAACTCCACGCTGAGCCGCTGGGTGTTGTCCCTTGCTTCAAGCATACGGCGTTCGTAACTTGGCACCATTTTTAGTAGGCGCGCATACGTAGCCTGCGCTACCTGCTTCGGTGTCGCTGCTGTGGGGAAATCCATGAAGATATTATCTTCATCGTCCTCTAGCTGTCGTTTTCTCACGCCGTATACTTGCAGCATGGTTTCAAGGCTCTTACCCCAGGGCTTCTTGTTAGGGCGATACTCGTGGAAGTCGTACTGCATAAAAAGAATATAGCATTAGAAGTATATATTTCACATATTGTACTGAACTTACTTTTATTCATTTTGCTGCCACCTTGACGTTGGCAATGTGGCTGGTGGTGGATGAGATGGCGAAGGTGATTTAATTTTAGGCGGATACACTCTGCAACAAATATAATCGCGCGTTAATACTTACATACTAATTTGCACGTGGTCTTCTACTAGAGCAATACAACTGAAGAATATTTACCGATTTTGTTGCACCGTACTACTAGCATCCAATTCATCCATCAGCTGCGACAACTGATGATCCTCTATAGTCACCGCGCTGTAATGAAACATGAAATTATAGTATTCACACGAAGGAATCAATTCGATCTATAATAATTGCAAATGTAAAAAATGTATTTTACCGTATTTCGGTTTGTCGCGCCCCAGACTCGTCATCGGAATGAATCGTGATGATCGAATATTGATCATCTAACAGGTGGGGTAGGCTCGGCGCCGCCATGGATCTCAACGGTAGCACCGGCGGTGGTTGCTGCTTTATATGCAGGCAACCTGTTGTTGTTGAGGGTTGCACCACTACCACATCACTTCTGATTTGCGCTTTTTTCGTTGGTGGCGCAAATCGCACGGGTTTCGGAGTTGTGGTCTTTTTTTTCATCGATAACGAAATTTTCGACGTTTTCTTAGGAGGTAGAGACATGATCGCGGTCGCGTGGTAACTGAATAAATTGCGTCAACTATTTCTAGTATTTATTATAACATTTTTGCGAACGTTTGCAGAACTCATGGGAATGAGAGAGATGTTATTCCAGGCGTTCGCATGCACCGAACAGGAGATATTTGCCGAGCGATTTGTCTGTGGCAACAATGTGGGAGAATTTCAAATTGAAATTTCCAGATAACCTGGGTATCCTACGAATCTTACCGTTTAAGAGTAAAAACAAAAAACATATCATTTGCTCTCCTACGACATGAAGAGTGTGAAGATGCGAAGAATTTAAGCTGCATCCGCATACGAAAGAAAGTCTGCAGGAATCTTGCGCGATTTGCATTTCTTGGAAGCTTCATGAAAATCATTATCGAGAGTCGCGAGAAAAGTATCAATTAGATGTTAGAACCAAGTTCGAAGATGGAACTGTCTGCGTTTCTGCAGACTTGCAGAAAGTAATAATGCTGACTAGAGTTGACACTTTCAAGAAAGTGCTTTTCATAAAAAGGCTCATAGTATATAATCAAACTTTTGTGCCGGTAGGAACCAGTTCGCAGCATAAAGCATTTGCTATTTTGTGGCACGAAGCCGAGTCCGGTAGAAGCAAAGAGGATATCGTCAGTTGCTTTTACGCATTCTTCAAAAGGAACAGAGATGCCCCAAAAATCATCTTATGGCTGGATAATTGTGCTAGCCAGAATAAAAACTGGTGCCTTTTTACGTACCTGGTTCGAATCATTAATTCGATTGAAATAAGTGCCGAAGAAATAATATTGAATTTTTTCGAACCAGGGCACATTTTCATGAGTGCCGATAGTTTTCATCATCAAGTGGAGCTGTCGCTCAAAAAACAAGGCAAGGTATACGATTTCCAAGACTTCGTAAATGCGGTTGAAAAAGCTCAAAAGGCAAAGGTGGAAGTGAAGAAAATGAACCACCTTGATTTTTATAAATGGAAGGATATGAAGTCTCAGGCAAAGCTCAATCAGGATCCAAACAGACCACTTCTTGCAGGCATAGTCAAGATGAAAGCGACGAGAGGGAAATTCCTATTAGAATATAAAACTTCATTAGAAGAACGAATACAAAAAATTGGATTTTTTGTGTAAGAAAGCTGCGAGAAAAACCGGGAATTTATTACAACCAGTTTCTAATTTGACCCGGCCATATGGCTTTCCCAAAACAAAATCTAATGCCATCCTAACTAACCTTCGAACTATCATTCCCGAAAATAGGAAAGCTTTTTGGGAAAACCTCCCAGAATGTGACTGAAAGGAATACCATATTTGATAATGTTCTTATAAATACGTTCTTTAGTTATCTAACCGTAAGTATAGATCATAAAACACTGTTTTCTTTCAAATAAATCCGTCCTTCAAGTGGCTAGTCGTTCACTTTGTTCACGAAGCATGTGTAGAAATTATTCCTAAAAAATGGTACATATCCAGCATAGGCAAAAGTTATTGGCCTGGAGATTCCAAAAAAGTTAAATCCATTTCCTCTAGCCCCAACTGGCACACCCATAAAGTAAAGGTACTCGGCGAATATGGTATACACTACTAAAACATTAAATTGAAATAGTTAACTCAAACATATTTTTAGATGTTATCATCAGATAATTCAGAACTGAAAAAAAGAAAAACAACCAAACGAAAATTATGCTATTCTTCGTCTGAATGCTGTACCGATGATTCAGATAGTAATTATCCTACACCACCAAAAAGCGCGAGAGTACAGCAAAAATCAAAATCAATCAGGGAATACAATTTGGAGACCATAGATGAAAATCACACTTGCAGGGTGTTATTGACACTAATCAATCACAGAATGCAGTTATTTTGTCCCAAAATCACATCACTAGGCCAACTCCCACTAAACCTAAAATATAATCGAGTCTAGTTACAGTCGCAAGAATTAAGTCTAATCGGAGGAAGTAATGTAACCGAAACCACGAAAACCCTTATGTATCGGATTATCACAAACAAACTTGGTTCCATATATACTTGGGAAGGTTTAAAAAAGGCAAACATTCTTTTAAAACGGTTAATAACCGATATATACAGGGTGGTGCCTAGCGCAACGCAGCATAGGGATTTCAATGGTAATTTCTTTATAGTCAATATCTAGCTCCCCTAATTATTTTAGAGCAAAAGTCCAAATAAGTTTTTTTTAGAGAAAAAAATACTGCATCTGTTCATACTTTTAGTTATAATTTTCCATTTTTCGAAATCGACAAAATAAAAAATTACATTTTTATAAATCAGTGATGCTTTGGAATCTTTTAACAAACTACAAGCGCATCGCATCTAAGTTATCGTTGTTTGTTTGACGTCGAACGATTTTCATATTTAATTCTGTTTCAACTAACCGACGCAATAAAAGGCATCTTAGGGTAATGTTTTTTTAGAGAATATATGCTGCACTGCATCAGATGCTATTTGTTTATCAGAGAGAATCAGAGTACCTACATAATCGAAGAAAAAAAAATTGATTTGAAGCAGATTTGTTCCTAAACTTATATTCGGATTTTCCGCTACTGCAGCCAAAACGTTGAATGTATTGTCGTTTTCCTGATGGTTTTGACGGACATTTTGAACGTTATTGCTCTTGCAGTTCTTTAACTAATTTATAAACAAGTATAAATTTAATATACGTCAAAGGCAAATTATGAAACGTGATCGCTGTTTTTTTAGGTAGGCATATCTGATTTATTGTAAAATGAACCTTTTTATTTTGTCGATTTCTACGGTTTTGAAAAACGGAAAATTATGAGTAATAGCATGAACAGATTCAGTATTTTTTTCTCTAAAAAAAACTTATTTAGACTTTTGCTCTAAAATAATTAGGGGAGCTAGTAATTGACTATAAAGAAATTACCATTGAAATCCCTATGCTGCGTCGCGCTAGGCACCACCCGGTATATATATATATATATATATATATATATATATATATATATAATGATATGATTTGTTCTTTAATGCGATCTAGACGTTGTATCGTTGTTATTTTTGTATGTCAATTTGTCACTTTCATTTACTATAATGTATAATTTAAATGGAATAAATGTTATAATACAATTTTAACCTTTTCATAAAGCTAGGCTTTAATTTCCAGTTAAAATATACATTATAGTAAAATGATGACAATTGACATAACAAAAAAAAAAAATAACCCAAAAAAAAAACGGGAAATATATATATATATATATATATATATATACATATCTATATCGGTTATTAACCGTTATTATATATAACTTCTACCAGATAGTGGGTTAGACCAAATACCTTGAATTCCAAATCAATCTTAAGAATTTTGATTAAATAAAGTGGACCTTGGGCAAGTATTCAAAGAAAACAATAAATGACAGGAAATGAAATCGTTCGAATGACATACACAGCAATTATTGTGAAAATTACAAAATTCAAATTTAATTGTCACACACACAATGAAAAATAATACAAGAGACACAAACAATTATTACAAAGAAAAAAAAAAAAATTAATTAAAACTTAATTTTACTTACATTCGGTACAAGTCCAAAACTGCTAATCCCAAATACGGTACACACAAAAAAAAACAACAAAATTCAAATTACACAAAAAAAAACACTCAAGTAGAAGACCTATGTTCGTTCTGGATCAGGAAGTGACGTCACACCAAACAGAGACGAGCACGTGACGTCACAGCCAATCAGAGACGAGCACGTGACGTCACAGCCAATCAGAGACGAGCACGCCCCCCTATGCCCCTCCCCTTGGCCAATGGGATACGGTAGGCGGAGCCTTTAGGGGCCGCCCCCTGTGACGTCACAGCCAATGAGCGGTGTGGTCGGCCATTTTGTTGGGCGCCATTTTATTAGTCACTAGATCCGCCATCTTGGATCGGTCGCCATTTTATTAGTCTCTAATTCCGCCATCTTGTTGGGCGCCATTTTATTAGTCACTAGATCCGCCATCTTGGATCGGTTGCCATTTTATTAGTCTCTAATCCCGCCATGTTGTTGGGCGCCATTTTTGACCGTCTGTCTGTCTGCCTCTCTCGCTCCATCCGCCATCTTGGATGTTATTTTGGACCCGCGTCATCGGTCACGTGATTGCTATAGACAAAAATTTTTGTTATTTGCGTTGGGAATCGAACCCACGGGAATGGGACAATTCGCCATCGCCAATTCGCCTTCGCCGATTAGCCGTCGCCCATTCGCCGTCGGGACAATTGGTCTTAACCAAATTCGCCGTAGGTACAATTCGCCTTCGTCGATTTACCGTCGCCCATTCGCCGTCGGGATAATTGGTAATAACCAAATTCGCCGTGGGTGATGTAATGTGGACATGAAGAAGTTTGAGTAATGCAAAAAATTGTCAACATTAGTAGTAACGATTTTAATACAAAAAGAACAAAAATATTACATGTCTAATTACGAATTTCGCTACATATGATAATTGTGCGCTAATCCTCTAAGATATTCCAAAATATTACTGTCGTCATTAAAATTTGTAACTAAATTCAAAATACGAGCATCAGCATTTCTATATTTCCTCAACTTTAAGGGTGGTGCATTACCAGCAACTAATTGCTCATAGTATGCATCCCGTCCTTTTTGCACTTTGCGCAAAGCGTCTATAAATTTCCATATTGATGGATGAACCATTCCTACTTCCGACTTGAGCCTTCGGTGAGCGGCTTCAGCGTGGTTGTTGGTTCTATCCTGCCCATTTAATGTGCGCTGGTAAAGATTCCACATCTCGATTGGGAACAAAGGTTGTCGTCTACCATTACCACGTCTAATTTAGAGAAACAAACATGTAGCATTAGGATCATAGTACACATTTTTATAATAATAATAATAATAATAATAATAATACGACAACGACCACTTGAAGAGGACCACCAAGAAGAAACCTTTGTGCCTGCTTCTCAACCGCTTGTGGATGGGACCAGCGCAAAGGAAACCTCCAAAAGACGTATGAAATGGGACGAAGGGATGAATCGCTTCATTTTCGGTACGTATCTGGAGATCACGAAGTTGGAAACGGACAGGACAGCATACAGAGGTAAACTACATCACGCGTTCATTACACAATACCCACATTTAGCACACTTAACAGAACAACGCATTGCAGACCAACGTAGAGTTATCATTAAAAATACACTCCTTACATTAGACACACAGTAGATTTCCAAAGTGAGTGTGTGAATTTTTATTTTTTTTTTTATTTTTTTTTTTTTTAGGACCCGACATAACTTCACCAGACACAGACACAGACACTAATCGTTACTTGATTTTAATCCGTGCGATTAGTTAACCAGGCTAGACCTGAGTTCTCACAAGAAACACCGACCATAATAATAATAACATACCTGTTCATACGCCCAACATAACTATCTTCAAACCAATCGAGAAGCGGTTGAAGGTTTCCTGGTAATGCGTTTGACAGCACTTCAATTGCGTCATCCAAACGTGCGGGGGGTACAAAGGCTAATGACGTCACCATTCTGGCATTCAGTGCAAATTGCGGATCATTATTGTATTCCCGTGTCACTCCCATTTCCCCCAATTTTTTTTTTCATATTTTGAGCCATATGAAAAAAACATCCGTAAATATTTACGTTTGGGAATGATGTTTTCATGGCGGTAAATGCAGCATGCTCAAAATCGCAATTGATTGCTAAAGGGTTTAAATTCGGAAGCAACTCTTTCAATAACTCGAACATCCGCTGGTAAGTTCCTCGCATTTTGTTGGGTAACAACGCATAGCATATTGGATGGACACCATTATTTATGACTCCCATCAAAGTGTACACTTGTGAAAATAAGGGAGGAGCTATAGAAAATGTTCCATCTGCGTACCATACTGAGGAAGTTTCTAAATATGGAAGCCAGGTCTGCCTTCCAAAAATTAAAATTCTTTCTGCTCCATCTTGGTTGTCTGCCAAAAGAAAGTTTTCCGTAACATTGACTCGTAGTTTGTACGTTTTGTAATCATCTGGTAATAATAAATCTGCTAGAGTCAAAGGATTTGGTGGTGCAGCGTTAACTTCATTACGTTTACGTCTTACTAATTTCCTTAAACTACAAGTATTTGGAAGAACAGCTTGAGCAGCTTGCGTTGTATTAACCATACACTCATTAATCACCTAAAAATAAAAAAAAGGGCACTGTTAAGGTATAGGAATGAAGCGCATAAAGAAAGATAAAACGCCAAGCAACGCGAGGCTAGTTTTTTTGGTACAATTATATAGCTTGCAAAAAATACACTCAAATTTGTTATTGATAATACGACGTTTGGAAATATAAAGTACGAGTAATTACCTGAATCGTCCCTTCAATTGTCTCCACAGCACGTTTTTTCACTTTAGTGACGACTTGTGCCACTTCCACGCTAACCGCTGAAGAATCATGACAATGGTCGTTAATTTTCTTAAGAACTTCTCCGTTTCTGGTATGGACTCGCGCTTTACACTCTTTTCTCTTCTCGCATCTCCAAAACTTTATACTGTTGTCACTTTTACTAAATGTATCAAAGACATAAATAAATCCATTTTCCGTAAATTTCTGTTTCCCTTTTTCAGATAAAATTTCCACGTCCATTCTTTAATTCCTGCCTACTTACAGCCACTATAGATAGATACTGAATTTTACTTACCTACATATTTTTGTATATTTATACCGATATAAGAATAGTTGAATGGAACAATAAACCAGATTTACGCTAATGACAGGGAGATTAGGATAATAATACAAGTTGTTCATTCATACAAAATCTGTTTATGGTTAATTGCGCTAGACCAAAGGACACCCTCATTAACATTCTTGAAATATAATAGAACAATAAAAGGTATACAGTACTGCGAATCCGGCCTACGACGCATTTCACAAATGGCTAATACACAATATTCTAATCGGCGACGGCGAATTGGCCATGGCGAATTGTGCTAACGACGAATTTGGTTAAGACCAATTGTCCCGACGGCGAATGGGCGACGGTAAATCGGCTAAGGCGAATTGGCGACGACGGATTGGCGACGGCGAAGTGTCCTAGACCCCGAACCCACGATACCTGAAATAGAAAGCTAGCGCGTAACCAAATGAGCCACGCAGACTTTGGCTTTGACTTAGAGGTTGAAGTCAATGAAAAAACAGGTGCCGTGACATGTATGGGGCCCCAACTATTAATTCTCCGAGACATGTAAGGGGGCTCAATTACCAATGTCATGCTCCATTCTAACCTGTAAATACATTTCGTGGCCCCCAGGCCTATAATGAGGCGATGGTTGCTCGCTCTCGGGGTGAGTCGTAAGGATGAATGGTAGGAAACTGTAACGCATTTATTCACATTTCAACCTTATTGCAGGTAGGTAATCATAAGGATGAAGGGCAGGAAACTGTAACGCATTTATTCATATTTAAACTTTACTACATGCCTTATGGGTAGGTAATTTTTATGTAACTACAATTTGTACATTAGTCGTTACACCTGCAGCTCCCATACTAGTTATAAATATAACTTTATTTGCTAGGGTTGTTTTGAAGCACTCTAGTCGATTTTCTGCTTCGAAGTATGTATGGTAACGTTGGGGCAGTATGCACTTGAAGGTTTCGGTTTCAACCACAATTCGATCTCCAAACTTGGTACCAATCACGCCGATATCAACAATTCGGTATTTTTCACCAATTTCCATATCCTTTACATTTTTGAATGGCTTACAATAGGTCGACGAGTTCAGGGAAGCGAAATCAAATTCTTCCATTATTATTGTATATCTATAAGAAAAACAAAAGTGTAGAAATCAATTACGTAGTCGATACTTTTAGTCATAGAAATTTAAGATAAAATCTTACTTGCCGATTACCGATTCGGTCCGAAACACTGATCGCGGCATATGTCAACAGCACTCAATTTTTATTATAAATTTATGCTAACACTGCGGGAAGCAATTTCCCCTATCTTTTCGCAAAGTAAGCAAGTTTATTTTGTGTCAACTGCGCTAGATTTTTGTTACAAATTATGCTTATAATGCGAGAAACCAATTTCATGTGTCTTTTCGCAAAGCAAGCAAATTATTTGCCATACAATTTCCTGTCTCGTATCGCAAGGAAAGCTAATATGGTTTATGTGAAATTTTTAAAGGGGGGCCTCATTACCTATACAAAAACATTTATCTAATCTAACATGTCAATCTTTATGACCGCTATTAGCAACTTTAAATTAATTTAGAACTCTTGTTCTGTCTGCCTAAGTACCGAAGATTCTCTCGTGGAAGATGGTTGAATTTTAGGAAGAATTGTAAATATTTATTATCGCTAGTGAGATCCTTGAAATGATGCTCCCAATCGTATGCGGAGTGGATAGCAAAAAACAAAACAAAACAAAGAATTAGATATTTATTTATATCTGAAAGAATAACGAAACGTAACATTACTAGAGCATTTAGCTACTAACATAGATAATCCAAGAAGCACGATCTAATTCCGGATCCATAAAAACGACGAACCTGAGCCCCCTATATACTCCGCTTTCAATTAAAGTGGATCGGGGAATGGCTCCCAGCCCCAAAATTATGGCCATAATATCCTATTTATAATTAAACTTATTATAACTATTATTATCATGGGCTGCTCATTTTGGACATTTCGAAAACTAGAATGTACGATTTTCAACTGTAACCGAAAACTTAGCGACGACCGGTTGAAATTGCTGTACATAGGTACCGATACTCTCCTGTATGAGATGACATCTGATGATGCATAATAGAAAATGATGCATTCTAGTTTTCGAAACTTCCGACATTGATCGTACCACCAAGACTAGTTTGGAAACCAATATCCAGTCTTCTTTCGACACCAGGATGGTGACTGTGATGGATGTATGAGGCTTTAAAACATCAAGAAAGGGATTTTTACCGATGTAGGTATAACTTTTAAGCAGCACTTTAGGATTAATTTCCCTTAATTTAAATAAAGTCTATTCGGCCAGTTGCACAAAAAAAAATAAAATAATCCATGATTATTGTTTAATCCGGTATTAAGACATTTTGATTGACTTTATACTGTAGTATGCAGCCAATCAAATGTCAAAATTCTTGTTTAAACTCAGATTTGGAAATAATTTCCTGCAACCGGACGATTGAGTGGTTTGAATAATGAAGATGTAGCCTGATTCATGCAAACTATTAATGTAGAAAAACACCATAACATCCCCGAATGTTATGAATTTAGACGCTACTTTTTCTGATAATAAATACTATTTTATCCCCATCTGTCTAAACTAAGGTAAAAGTTAGAACTTGTCTTGTGAGGCCGGCCGTTCGATTGTTGTAATTATGAAAGAGTTCACAGAGAAATCAAAACTAAGTTGCATTTCTGGGTTGAGAGACACCAAACCGATTAGCAAATGTGTAGATACTATAGGGATTGATACCTATTGCATACGATGACGTGATGCTTCTTGCCAGCATTACAGAAGCATCATCGCTAAAGCACTTATTCTATTCTTAGGGGCGAGTTCCAATTTATTATCATATCCAGGGTTGGAACAAAACAAAACAAAATTATTTTAGGTAAGGAATTAACTAGAACGTCCATATGCTGGTAATCATGTGTAGGACTGTATAGGAAAAACAAAAACAAAATTAGGTATTTATTTAGATCTGAAAGAATAAATACAGATTGAAGCGTGACATTAAAGCGGTTAGCTACTTACATAAAATACCCAAAAAGTATTGTATAGGTCCAGGTCTTTATAGACCTGGAACCACATATCTTTATGCCTCCCTTCTTCCATTTTAATTGTTGAGAGGATTACCCCCAAACCGCGAATTATCGCTACATTCTCCTATATTATAGAAAATTAACAATATGTCATGATTCATGTAAAGTACTTACTGATTTATATTTCGCAATAATTTGGTTGCGAAGTTCCCTTTCTATAAAAATATACGGTTAAACCGTATAATATACGGATATATTTACCTCTCTCGGTCTGCATATCTCCGCAAACAACTTCAATTTCTTGATCTGAAATTGCATCTATTACATTTTGGATAAAATGGAAAAAAATTGATTTTGCCTACCAGTCATGATGAAGTATGCGTACTCAATGAGGCTAGTAGGCATAAGCGTTATCTAAAACTGCAAAAGTGCACTTTCCATAAAATAGGTAGTCAACGTCAACGCCGCCGTTTTTCTAGTTTGCCGTGTAAATGTGGAGCCAGGTTAAGGAACTATTAAACTGTAAACTTAACATTTTCCTAATATTCACATATTTCCGTTTCATCGGCTTTTATGCGAGAACGGTGTCGTTTTCTAGTATAACTATAATTATTAGAAAAACCTATAAATTAAAAATAGGACCACTTTATGGGTACCTCCACTACACCATTTTAAGCCCAATTTGAGACAAAACAAACCCAATTTGAGATTTAACAATTTCAACCCAAATTCAAATTAGGAATTATCAAGTTTAATTTGGGATGAAATCATCCGCGTATGGTATAAATTTAGACGTTACTTTTTATAATTTTATAATAAATTGTCTTTTGTCCCCATCTGGTCCAAATCAAGGTAAAAGTTAGAACCTGGCTTATGAGGCTGGCTCTCCTTTCAATTGCTGCAATTATGAGAGCTCAATGAGAAATCAAAACTATGAAATTTGAATATGATATAATTACAACTAATTGTTGTTTTCGTCTTTTTTTCCACGAAGCGTATACCTAGGGATAGTTGCTCCGTTCCAGAAATGTCACTTGTCTCATCAGTGATTACTGAAAATGCCCAACTTTTATTGGCTCGTCGCACTATGTCTTTTCTATCACCGGCAATAGTTATAAGTTCATTTTGAGTGCGGTGCGATATGTATTTTGCATTTCTAGCAGAAGCTTCTAAATGGTGCTTCAAAACTTGATCTGCGTCTACTCGGAAATTAAGTAACATTTGAAAATTACTGCGTTCGTCAGTTTTTCCGCGTACTGCAAAATCTTGAGTGCCACAAAGAATTAAGGTTTCGACAGCTATGGTCATTATCTCTTGTTGCTCATTCAGATTTTATTGTAAATATCTATTACTTTCAAGTACGATAGTAGCCCACATAGGATAAACACATCCATTGCATATGAAAGGGATCCAACGTTGCTGGAGAATGGATATACATAACATTATGGAGCTTCGATGCACCTCCATTGGATGTGACGTTTTGTCATGGAAAGATATGTCATGATAGACTTCGGATTATATGCATCAAAAAATGAGGAAAATATGCGCATATTTATGCAGGATTTATTAGAAAATATGCGAGAGAAATGAGAAAATATGCAACAAAAATAAACAAACATGTGTTTAAAAAATTTATTTCTTTAAAGTATTAGCTAAAAGCACTAAATCTAAACATTAAAACATTTTACAACAATGTGCCGCTCAAAGTTTTCTACCAAAAATTTGCGGCGTTTATCTGCATACATATTTTTATAGACAGAAAATGATCTCTCTACATCTACGGAAGTAATAGGAGCATATTTTAATTTAGAAATGATACCAGGGCTTATATCTAAATCTTCAATGAATTGTCCGTGACAAATCTTGTTCACATTAGACAAAAATGAATAGCCAGCATTTTTTTTTTGATATTTGTTTTTAAATACCTACCTGCATTCTAGGTAATGATTTAATGAATAGGGTTTGAAATAGTACTACCTGTTACAATGTACCTACCTGCTGTGACGAATTTAATTTTAAGCGTCTCTAAGATTCAGTCAGTACTCAAATTGTTTAAAAAATGTAGAAAAATGCAACTTTGTTTAAAATATAGGTACAGAATGCAAAAATCTCGGAAATTATGCAAAAAAATGCTCCATGCATATAATCCGAAGTCTAGTCATGAACGTCCATACTACTCGTATATCCATATGTACATACACTGCATATTCATGTGTACATACATTGCATATTCCTGTGTCCATACATTGCATATCCATGAGTACGTACAGTGCATGTCCACCTGTATATCTACTACATTCCCGCCGTACATCCATAGTGCATTGCATATGCTGTGTATGTCCTTATAAGTATATGCTGTGGAACTGAAATGTATGTTTGAATTCAATAAAATAAGTCTTATGTTACAAGATCTATTTATTAATCTCATACATTTATAATACATCATCGGTAACTTCTTCCACTGTTTCTCCAGCTTTTTTCCTGAAAAAAAAAATATATTAGACAAATATTAATATCTATACAATGAAAATGTTTTACACAACTGACTGATATTTCTTCTATTTTGAATTTTGTTTTACAGGGCGTTAGAATCGAAACACGTAAGATAACGATTTACGTAATAAAATTTAAATATCCGTAAAAGTGGTACTTAATAGCGATATTATTCAAATTACATTGAGTAGATAGTTTAATTCTGAAGGGAATCATTCCATTGTGTACAAATGTCCATATTTTATGGAACGGTCAAAATTTAAAATGAAAGGGTTGCATTATACTGCGTTATAAAATGCAATACAAATAGATTAAGGACATACAGACTACAATGTTATTACTCACTTTTCACTATTCAGATGCCTCTCTCTCTCTCTGGCACGAAGCAGCCATGACTTTATATTTTGTATTACATCCAGTTCAGAAGCATTACCAGTTTTGGGGTTCAATCTTACAGCCTCTATAAATAAATTAATAAAATAACAGTAATTCGATTTGCAATTTCTTACTTATAATTTTAATTATTATTTTGCCTTACATCGTTTCTTCTTCATTCCTTCCCATGTGTAACACGACCCTAATTTGCTTGAAAATATTCGGTACATTAATGTTTTTGTACTTTCTTTTGTTGTTTGTCCACCGATATGGCTTAGTTCTTGTGCCTAACAACAAAAATTATAAATATGTATGAATGAATATTTTTAAACACTTACGAGTAGTTGTTTGTACTCGGTCATCAGATAAAGTTTCTGTTTGCTCAACATGTTCCATCTTAGTAAAAAGCATTAGTTTAAAGATATTCAAAATTGGACTGTCGTTTTGAATACCTCTCTCTTCAATTTGCACGTCATTGTTTGCTTTAAGCAATATATTTAAATCGGATTGCATATTGTTCATTTCGTTGCGAAGTGGCATCTGTCGCTTGTCATTATCTGAGATATAACCCTTCCAAGTTTTCGGTTTGAATAATTATTTTTAATTTAGCGATAAAATATCAAAACTTTCACGACAATAAAGTAAAGATTTAAAAGATCAATTGCCGTTATCAACTATTTAGTTTGTGTGAGGTTTTTTGCTCCATTTTAGTACCCTATAAAACAGATAGCACCTTGTTTTAGAACTGAAGTCATTTTATTTTATTAAACAGGGGTGTATGTGGAATATACACCTTTGTTAATAAAAAAATTTGACCACATAAATGTAGTGTTTGGTAAAAAGGGTGCTAAGTGCCACATATAACTATGTTGTTTGAAAATCGTCATTTTGAGATGATCTCATTAACACGGCAACTGAAATGTTTTTGTAGGTACGGTTTAATATACTTGCTGGTTGCACAAAATAAATAAAAAAAGACACAATCAGTGTAAAATTTATTGATCAAATTGTAGCTCACAAACTAAACAAACGGATTTATTTTAAGGTATTTAGAAATGAAGTAAAGTATTTTCTGTCCAGATCTGGCATACAACTAGTCATCATCTTTTTTATCGCTAATACTTTGTCTTGTGATATACTGTTTTTAGCAGGAAGAACTTTGGGTTTTAGGGATATTATTTGAGAAGGCACCTCGGCTGTTATATTACGACGTCTTTTTAATTTGTTCGAATCCTCTTTTATGGTTTCATTTCTAAATTCATCCAAGTAGTTCAATTTATATTGTATTGTTGATAAACTTTGAGTAAATTTAATACAAAGAAGCTTCGAAAATGGGATTTTATTGTACGACAGTTGTTTCGCACAGCTCTCAAAATCTTTAAAATCACCACTCTGTAACTGCAAAATACAATACGGTTTTTTTGTGTTTACCGATTTCAAATTTCTGATAAATGATAGTGGCGAATAAAATTCTGTTTTGTTCATATATCTTTTGATGTTACTGTGGATATTGTCTATTTCTTGAATTGCTCCATGTCCTGGTATAGAGTACTTCATAGTAACACTCTTTAGCTCAGGGTGATCCCTAAGAGCATCAAGAATGGCAAAAGAAATAAAAGAATTTCTGTTTTGCGGCACACACGAGTCACTCCAAGTAACAAGTTCTGTTATGTTATTGCCATTTAGAATTTCTTCCAGTATTCTCCTAAAAGCACTTGCTATAATATTTTCGCTTCATCCTTGTCTCGCTTCTGTCCAAATGGCACAATATGTTTGGCCAGTGGTGGAAAGATGTCCGGTTAAATTATATATATTCAATTTTTGAGAATAGAAGAAATCTCCAACTTCTGAGCGAGGGCAAGTAATAACATTTTCCAAATCGAAGCCTAATACAGCCACTTTACTTTTTCTGTCATTGTCTCTCTCAGTTCTCATTTGGTTTTTGAGTATAATATGTTCATCGTAATCTTTCTGTTCTTTGTCAGTCAACGATTCAAGCATTTTTATTTTATATGTTTCGCATTTTAGGCAGCGATCTTTTTTGGGAATATGAAACCCGTAATTAAATTCTGTCGTAAATATATTACGATAGTATGAGAGCTTTCCAGGCGTACTGGTAGTTTCATTGCACCGTTTGACATACAAGTCATACATTTTCGAAACGCTTAAATTTGGTTCTAAATACTTCCTTTTAGTTGTTTGTCTGCAGTAGTGTGAGTCAATCACGGGAAAGCCTTTAATATGATTGATTATTTCTTCTTTCATTTTCATGAAGCTCGTTACTTTTTGTTTTCCTCGATGATCCTTTTTATACTCACTGCCTTCTAGATGAGCAGTATAGATCGGTTTTTGGGATATGCCAAGAGTTCCCAAAAAAAATCCTTACAGACTCTAATTGTTATTCCTTCTACTTGTAATGAATAAAAAAAGGAGTAGGTCCGCCTGGACGGATTATTTGTAGTTTTTCTACCTTTATTAACTTTTGTAGTACTTTCCTTTAAAAATATGTACTTTTCGTTTTGCGTCATGGTCCAATACGATCGAAACACTTGGTCCCTTTTTTCGGAGGAAATTTGCTTTGCACAGTTAAATTTACATTTCTCCAAGCAATTTTTTTTGTTTCTTATTTGTCTTGGCTTGACCAGTTTCCCTCTCACATTTGTGTATTCTTCCCCAGATTGACATTTCTTTTTTCTAATGTTTACTTTCCACTTTTCTGTGTTTCTTTTTCGTTTTCTGGATTGACAAGGCTTTTCACAACTATTCTTTTCATTCGCGTTTTTTTCGCCGCGTAATGGTTCTACAGCGTTGGGTTCCACTATGTTAGTTGTAAGGGCTTCTACTTCAAAATTTTAGTTTGACCTTTCAGAGAATTTTATTCCGAAATTATGGCATGTAGAAGACGTAGACGTAGAAAGAAGGGCACAAACGTAATCTGTAAAAGACGAAAAAACTCCCGCTTTTCAAAAAATCCTTTTTTAAATTTCTTACAAGAGCTGCGTAAGAAATACCCCACGTGGCTTTCATGCAAGCTGACGCTCGAAGGAGCTCGCCGGTGGTGCAACATGAGTATGAATGTCGCAGAAGAAAGTACCAGTGCAGAGCAGCACATGTCATAATTTCGGAATAAAATAATCAATATTTTATCCAAGGTGTATACAAAGAAATTTTGTTGTACAATATTAAACACAGCATTAATGGTAGTAATATGGAATATGAATGTAAACCTTTGGCATTAACACAAAACTTTAGAAGAGGGAATTATTTATGATACCTAATTTACTTAGACAAATCTTTTTGTATCTTCTTCACGATCGAATTAAGCGCGCATTTTAAAGTAAAATACAATTCTATACTTAGTTGTCCTGTCGGTATCTTTTAAAAATTATAAACTTACCTGTCAAGATCAGCATTCAGCTTAATTTCAGTTGGGGCCGTGGAGGTAAAGTTATCTTGCACTTCAATTTCTTCTGATGGTGATGAGTTACTGTAGAAAATCAAGTTGTCAATATGAATCGAATTTTTTAAGGAATAAAGCAGGAATTATTAGTCAAAATTATTACGAAAAATGTAAACTTACTTTACTGTTGGATTGGAAAGTCCCATAACATCTCTTGTTGCATCCACTTCATGCACATCGTTTGATAACAGCATGGCTGTAAAATTAGTATTGATTATAGGGTTGAATACACCATACTTTTACAAACTTACCCATTTTTAGAATTCTTGATGTACGGGATTCCATAATTTCACTGCACAAACAAAATATTACACACTTCGGCTAATTATCTAATAAACACCTACTCGAATACATGTCTAATTAAGTGGGCTGGGTGTTCGTAATTTCACGATTGCCATGGAAATGTCGCTTGACGTTTGCTTATAAAAATCATCGTCTTTGTGAATAAAACGATTTCCGTTGAAAAAGATAATACACCGTCCATTAAATCGCTTGTTGTAAAATCTAAACAAACGTTGGTAGGTGTAAAATCCAACTCCAGTAAAGCCTATTATAAAGAATATGAAAAGTTGTTTCCATGGATGAATATAGGAAGTTACTTACGAATAAAGTCTTAAATGCATCCATAATGCTGGCATATATGAAGGAAATGTCAAAGGTATTTAAATCTTCTATATTTTGGTGCATTCATTCAAAACTTTAAAGCAATGCTGCGATTAAAAAGTGGAACAGATTTGGAAGCATACCCTAAATTACGCGCGTTTGTGAAAGGATAGGTACAAAAGCCAAAGAAATGTTCTGCATTTACAGAAAGCGACCTAAGAGGATTTTTTATTTCATCCAGATGACAGTTTCAAAAGTCATACTTGAAGTCTCGTTACTTAGCAACTTTAAAGCACGTGTGTTTTAAAGGCCCTTTTTCGCACGCATTTGAGTGTTTAAAACGGAGATTGTGATTCAGGTATAATAAAAAATACTATTCAATATTTTTAGCATTTTAAACTTATCTGCTTCTTTACTATGATTGTTTTACCGATTTTAACTTCCACCATTATTGGAATAAGAGTTTGAGTTAAAAGCGTTAATATGGACAAAAATACTGCCAACTGATTTTGATTTCGTATTTTTATCAGATAAACAGAGATTTGTAAAGTGTCCAAGTTTACTGCAGTACTTACAGATAAAGCTTTTAGCGGGGCAATCCCCACGTTGTCGTGGATGGTCCTGACCATAGTTGAGACAATTGCTTGAAGATTTCAAGTAGGTATGATGAAGATATGGTTTATTTGTAGATGTTTTCGTTTAAAGCGGCTTCTTTTGTGCGAAGATATATAAAAGTTTCAGGGAATGACGGCAGGAATTTTGGCAAATATTTTTTCTTTCAGCGATTCGGATTTAAGGCCTAGGATTAACACTGCTGTCTTGAGACGTTCCGGAGTGGAGTTATACTTTGTTTCAAGGGTGCTGAACCTTTCGTCACACTATCTGACGTCATAGCAAAATTAAGGCAGGTCGTAAATTAGTAGTTGGTTTACATATTGTCACATTGACGTTTCAACTTATTTATTAAGGTGTCACTATCGTTCATCATTATTAGACCGCCCAAGTTGACAATCACTTGTAGGTTTTATACCTAATGGTTAAATGGTCATGTATTTTATAGAGGAAGTCCGTTGGTATGAATTAAACCTTTTCCACCGTTTGTAATCACCTCATGTAACCGATTCTTTGCACCGACAATCCAAATGGATACTGCCAGAGCATCCGAAACTCTTTGAGATGAAGTGTATGATGGTTACAGAAAACGCATAGGAACATTTGTAACTTAAAGTTTGTTTAGGCAGTTCGTAAATTAATATTTTGTTTACATAATGTTGATGTGAAATTAAGTATGCTACCAATGTGAAGAATACGCGTTAAGTTGCGCGAATTTTAATGACCCTTAACTAGCCATTTGCAGAAGTAGAATAGGCCATGGTTTATCGGTAAGCCTTTCGCATTTATACATCTTACAAATTTGAGATAAAGCGTAGTCATTATACCACTGGCTCATTGAAATAACAACGCATACATACAGTTTCTGCTCTTTTGCCACACAGTCGAGATATTCGCATAAGGATCTTGAATATCTTCTGATCCGATTTATTTAAAAAAAAACGCAATTGTGAGAGAAAACAGTGTAACCGGCTGGTTACTTTCCAACTCTCTTTACCACCTCTTCTTCAAATCCTTTATTTGGGGGTGGTTCTTCTTATAAACATTAAGGGTTGTTGGGCGCCGGCTAGCTTCAGTCGATAATTCTTCTGGCCTCAAGGAGAGGGGAAAGGATAAATGAATAAAAATCAATAATCTTTATTAATACCTGTTGGGTTCTTTTTGTCTTAGAAATCGCCTTTTATCTGTAAGTAACACATATTAAAAGAAATGGGGGTGAGGCGGTACACACTCCTGTGAAAATAAAGTTAACTCATTCATACACAAAAAGTCACTGCATATAAAGGAAAATATGTATTTTATTATGTGAATTAAAGCAAAGTATTTACTCTCAAAACCGCCGAGTACAGAAAGAAAATTAATTCGTATTTCATAAATTCTTATCCACTTTAGTCGATAGTCAACACAACACTGCTGTAAATGCGTGTAGTAACGCTTTCAGGTAGGAGTCGTTTAAATGAATGCAAATAGTGCTGATAAGCACTAAATTGAACGCAACACTAGTAGGTAATTTAAATCGCCTTTACAAACATACCAATTTATAATAGTGTAATAATTAAAAATACTACAACGAAATAATCAATCTACAACAAGGCGAACTAAGACGAAATAATAAATCTACAACGAGGCGAACTACAACGAATTATTGTCTACAAATACCTCGAGTTAATAAGTGCACCAGGACTTGGAGGTCACTTTGTCGCACGATCGATGTGGAAGTCGAATGAATTCGGACCGCCCACTGCAGGCTGCTATTCGCTTTTCAGCTGGACCAATCACAGGCAGCCTGGTTTATCTCGATCTCAGTTTGGTACCTCCAGCTGGATTGCGCACGTACCGGCAACGGAATCCTTGGCTTGTTACGACGACTAGGAGAGGGGTTGCAACTTCCACCCCACCATCCACTAGCGCCCTATTGGCCGCGTCGCCAGACGCCTCTACCGGAAATCGTTTATAAGCAGCGCACCGACAGGGGAACTTCACTTGTGCCTGGGCAAGCCTACCTTACCCTACACAAGCGACTGAGGCTGGTCGCTTGGGCTCAAGTACCGTCTCCGCACGCCATCACTTCCCGGCTTGACCGTAGTCAAGTCCGGCGCCATCCCACGTGCCAGAAGCGATCTTATATATGTACATATATCCTCTGTATTATTTGTAAATATTGTGTAATATACGTTTTCAACCTCCGTTTGCCACTTACGTTACCCCGCCCGGTAACAGGCTTCTGTAATTTCGTAAATTTCCAATTTTCTTCGGCGCGCTGGGAAGAAACGTTTTCGCCTTTTGCGCTGGCTCGATGGAGATTATTTCACTCGGTTCTTTTGCTTGCTTTTCTTATAAAAGTCGCCTTAACGCTTTATTAAACTTCGCGCTTATAATTTGCGGGCGCGACTGACATAGATGTTGCTCCGTGAAAAGGCGGCGGGCAACTCCTTCTGGTGCTTGAAATCCCCGTATTTATACTTTCTCACTTAGTATCCACTGACCTCAATTCGCTTTATCGCGCAAACTCGCACATGTATAAATAGTTTGAACGCCCGTGACTTAAGCTTTTGACACTTTGGCAGCGGTAGAGAATAGACGGATTTGAATCGCTCTACTAGCTCTCAATTAATTATTTACAATGACTCGGACTTTGACCTTAGCGTTAATACTCGTTATTTCTATGCAGTTTTGTACCCTAATTTATTTATTTACATACGATGAATGCAATTCTATCTACGTCGCGATATTTACTTATATTTAATTCTCTTTCTGCGTCATAGCGGCTATCTTTGAAATGCATACTCAGCTACAATAACTTAAAATAAACAATTCTCCTTTAAATGCATTCCCATTCAGTCACATCATTCATACGTGGGAGTCATGATTACATTTAGACTGGACACTTGAATCACGTAAAAATAAAAGTTTAAATAAGCTGTACAGAAATACTGTTACAACAGATAGTGAAGAAAAAACTCTCAAATGTTCATATTCAAATCGTATGTACAAAAGAAAAAACGACACTACACCACAAATCCATCTTCTGATCCTGCATGGAGTATTAGGTATATACCGGACCCCTTCACCACTTCTTTTTCTAACTGTTTTGAGAGTACCATCTTGCCAGCTTCTTCTAAAAGACCCTTTACTGTATATCCACGTTTCGTCTAAAACCACAGCTCGTAATGCAAAGAGTGAAGTTTCGTTGTGTTTAAAGTCTCTCAAAAATTGTAGTCTTCTTTGAACTGCATAGGGCTGTTCCATTAAAAATAATCTATTGGAAACGGTGCATCTCCGCCACGTGAATTTCAGTTTCTTCAAACTGCGGGACAAAGAGGTAGCAGATATTTCTACGCCATCAAGTCGTTGAAGATTACTGTGTAAGGAACGGAGTGTAACATTCTCACCTATAAAATCAATTCAATACCTAAGTGTTCTGGCGAACATCTTCATTCTGTGTATCGGTTCGTCATATTTACCTAATGGTAACGGGAATGACCTAAATTCATGATATGAGCGAATCGAACCATTATGGTAAAATTTTTAAAATACTTGTCTATTAACGGCGTTGCTGCACTGTCGACTTGCCTAAGCGTTTTTAACTTTGATGATATTTACTTCACTTTTAACACAAACTATCTAATCAACACTGGAAATCTGTCTATAACGAAAATCGTTTGACGGATTGATATTATGACAGATCAATTGGTTTATTTGTCACGACTTACGTTAATGACGTAATTTTTTTTGTCTCAATCGATTTAAATGTAATGAAGAGAGAATCACATTTATGACGTCAGGTTCAGCACCAGTGAAACAAAGTATATCTACATCAGCATACTCGGCTAAAGTTAAAAGATGAGCAGCGTATTCATCAATGTTTTGGTTAGCATCTTGTTTCACTTTCAGGAATTGTTGCCAATCAAGATTTGGATTTCGCTTCGCACGGACAAACTGTTTTATTGTGTCAAGTATACTACTTACAGGCATGGTGGTGTTTCTAGGAAGTTGAGATTATTTCTGATGTTTTAGAAACTCAGGTGAACAATAACTCCACAGAGTTGCAATTTGGACACTGATATGTTGTTTGTTTATTTTATTTATTTATTTATTACATAAATCTTGCTAATGTGCAAAGCACTTACAGTCGTCAAAAACATAGAAACATATATTTATAAATAGTGTATATAAACAATATCACAAGACGACACATGTATTAACAGATAGTTCTAAAATTGGATGCCTTTATGGTATGTTTGTTTAACTCTGTGATAGTAGAATAGTTTTCCCAAAGTTCCAACCATTCAGTAAATCTTGTAAGTCGACGTCCGGTTACTTTACAGACAAATCCTGTTTTCGAACAATATTCTTCTCTGGTAACTTTCTCGAATTGTAAACCATGTAAAATGGCTTGAGTATTAATTTCATTAGGATGTAAAATGTTTTTAATGACACCTTCATAAGAATTTTGATTTTTAATTTTACATTATACTACCCATATGCGACGAAGTGGCCCCGATCTTCCTTTCCTGCCTCCACCTTTCGGACAAATTTTCATCTTTTGTAGGAAGTACATTCGTTAAAAATATTGTGGGATTTAATACAGGCAATCGGCGTAGACTGAGTGCACAAGTACGAATAAATTCTTCGTCTAAATGCAGATCCCTATATTCTACACAGGCTTGGTGAATCCAGCGTAGACACTTATCGCACTGAATCCATAGAGTTAAGTTATTGTTCATCCCGTGACCGCAATAAGCGCATTGGATTTTATCCGGATCGTCTTCGGGCTATATCAATTCGTCTGTGTGAAGGTTACTATCCTGTTTTTTTCAAAAACCTACCGGAGAAGTGAGAGCTTGTTTTACTTTTCTTTCTCCAAACTTCTTGAGAATTTTTTCCGCTTTGCGGATCTCCTAACTTTAATCGTTTTTTTGAAATTCCTAGATTACGTTCCACTTGTAGTGACAGGAAATCTGTTCTGATTTTTCTTAAAAATTGTGTCACTCGCATGTTTGTTTGGCAATCCAAGATATTTTTTTTAATTCCTATGGGTACGTAATGGATATCCAGATGTCCGCGTAATATCTATATCAATCATAGATATCACATAGATTTAATATAGATGTTTGGTAATATCCCATAACACATCTAATGATGACAAAATAAACAAACTTTTAACACATCATAGACATTGCAGAGATGTGTAGAGAGATATCTATTAGGCACATAATAGTAATCAGCCATAGATATATAGACAAAACCGGCTTTATGGTTCAGTAATAGAGCGTTGGACTATAAGACCTTCTGCAGAGGCACCTCTAAAAAGCATTATGCGGGTCACTCTGTAATTGGGCGCAAGCCTGTTGAGGACCCAGAACAAGAGAAGGATAATAAATAAATAAAGAGGAAGTATATATAATATCCAAAAATCAAAGTTGATGGGACGATGGGGGTAGTGATTACTCCGCACGCCAAGCACAAGACTATTTTATTTACAGGGCTAGGTTCCGAAAATATTTACAACACTTAACAACTAAAATATACAAGAGGTCCATAAAACAAACGATCACGTTGCACTGTCACGAGCGGGTACGGTAGCGGTCGAAGTAGTTGCTTGTCGTTAACACAGGAATACCATAAGCCACCGAAGCGTCTATATGGAACCGGTTAGACTAGCTTACCGAACTGAGGTTGCTTCCTTGCCGTTCCGGGTCCGTCTTATTCTGCCTTTGCGAGTTCGTGAGCTATTACTTTTCTGGCCATGACATCTAGGGGTTTGCTTAAGTCAGCCGTAGGGGCACGTGATTTGTATAATGAGAGAGAGGTGGCGTTGAGTATGTTACAAAGTATTGATTTATTTGAATTTTACATTTTATTTAAGTAATTACTACTTAGAATCGCCTATTATCTCGTGTATCTCCACTTCGGCCCATCTTCCGTGTCCTTGACATTCTCCTTATTTGTTCTCTAAGATTTTAATTATATTATTAAATGTGTCTGCAAACATACGCACCTACCTACGTTTTTAATGAAAAAATCTAATTATTTAACTTTGCATAAAGCATTGCATGGATGAATGGGATATATCCGAAATATAAATTAAATAATTCCAACAGATAAATTATTCATGAGTTTAGTAAATTAAGCACAATACATAAAATTGAGAAAAATTAAATAGATTTTGGAAAAATGTAGGTAAGCAGTGACAATAATTATGAACAGATATATTTGTGAGCATAGTATGAACCTGGCGACGTTTTCTACAAATAAACAAAATTATTACAGTTCACATTCAAAGGATCATACATACGTACTTATTTTTACATCTATCGTCTGCATGGCGGAACCAATTTTTAATGCTATCAATAATGTCCTTTTCAGTGCTCTTTCTGGCAACAGCATTTTTTTGAACAGCGTCTGTAAGAATTCAATAGCTTAATAATATATTACATTCTTGAATATCTTACTTAATATCACATCTGAAAGTATTTTAATCTAATTCTTAGCGGACCGGTAAGAGCGGCTCACTGCAAAATTGAGGTTAACAGGACGAATTAATAAAAAAGGAACTTACTTGTTTAACGACGAAGACAAGCGCTGGTAGTTCACTTTAGATTTAGATTTATTTTTTCTTGCTTTATACAAACGCATTTGCAAACGTCAACATAGTTATGCTTATACATCGTGCTTGTGATTTAAATATTCCTCACTAGTATAGAAGGCATGCCGTAATAGGTGTAGTCTTATTGCCACTCTATACTTTGCAACATCCATATTTTTTATACTTTCAGGGAGACTGTTGTAGAATTTAGTTGCCCAATAGTGAGGGTTGTTTTGGGATTTGCTTGTCCTGTAGTACATTGAACGTATCTCATCACATCCTCCAGTGTCGTAAGAGTGATAATCCCTATGTGTAGTAAATAAGTGATAATTCTTTATATATATATATATATTCAAACATAAACATTAAAGGTACTGATGCATAATTTTTGAATATCTACATAATGGGAATAGTAAAGTTTAATCACAAAAACAGGTGGCCCGTGCTTACAACCCCCCGGGTCCCAAGTTTCTCTCTACGGCCCTGGTGAACAGTAGGGTAGCTGGGGTGAATGGCGGCCCCCTATGCAATATTGGATATTGTACCCTTTGTAATTATTACAATATTTCGATAAAAGCAAAAATGAATAGGGCAGATATCACTACGAAACACGTATATTTATGTTTAATAAGAAAACATAAAACAAAAATTCTATTATAAATAATATGAAACTTAACAGTGGCCGGAATTACACCCACTAAGGGGGCAATAACGGACACCTGCCGGTATTACTACCACTATAGGCAATAATCGCAAATGTAGTCCTTCCTTTCTTGATTGATGCATTCTTTGTGGGCCCATTGCCCACATACTACACATCTGACCCATATTTCATTTTTCCCAAACTCTCCACATACGGGGCAGACATCTTCATTGATTTCTTGGTCATTTTCCTCATCAGAATCGAATTCTTCGGAACTTTCTTGGTTCGGTTGCGATATTTTTACTTTGCACGTTCTGTTAACTTTAACCCGAGGTGTAGGAACGACTTTTGTCATTTTGCTTTGGTTAGATATTCTAATATTTGATCTAAGACCATCTACCGCTAAAACACGTCTAAATTTTGGTTTTTCATTTCTTGTTTCCAAGTTTTTTTGCTTTTCCAGTTTTTTATTTTCCTTTTCTTCTAATTGGTCTTTGTTAGGAGTGGATGTAAATATCTCTGCATGTTGCTTTTTCCTACTGGTCTTCATCTTTTTTGGCAAAGTATTACTGCACGAAGGTAAATTCAAAATTTGTCTAAATGAAACTTCGCTTGCTTCATCTTGATCTTCTTTCCGTTTTCTAGAACCATTTCCATCGCAACTATTTTGATCAAGAGTCTCTTCATCGTTCTGGTTTGCATTAAGTGCTGCATTTTGATCACGGGTTGCTTCATGGTTCTGGGTTTCATTCGGTACTTCTTGTTGCTGAGCTTGCTGTATAGCTTTTATATTTTCTGCGGCCATGAAATCGTCATCGGAGAAAACATCAGGATTCATCGGAAATATGCCCGTAACTTCGAATCCTTTAATTGCTTTGTCAGGTGTGGCTATTCTGCTAAAAGATTTGTTAAATATTTCTGCAAGCTCGTAAGTAGTAATTCTTTCTCCAGGGCGACTTTTTAGAAACTTGTCACATTCAGCATTGTACGCTGTTTTTAGCGGTTTATAGAATGTCACATCCAGCGGTTGGGTGCGGTGTGAACTGTGTGGTGGTATGGTAAGTATCACAATCCCATTTTCACGACAAAAATTGTATGCTTTCAGAGTACAGTGGCTAACGTGATTGTCAATTACTAACAATACTGGATCATCTGTTGTCGATTTCACGAACCGTGCAAAATGATGAAGCCAGTCTATAAATAAAGTTTCATTTATCCAACCATTGGAAGAACAAGCATATGCAGCTCCGGGTGGTCCATTCCTCTTTAATTGTGCATCCATCCTTTGACGAGCAAATATAAACAACGGGGGAACATAAATTCCTGAGGCACTGAAGGAGCACATGACAGTTGTGGTTCTACCTCTTTCTCCACTTGTAGTAAATCCAACCCTTTTTTGTCCTTTTTGTGCTAATATTTTTGCTGATACTTGGACATTACTAATACCGGTCTCATCGGCATTAAATATGCGTGTTGGTGTGAATTTATGCTTTTCCATTACACTTTGCAGTTTGGAAAAAAATAATGTAATTTCTTCCCGATTAAAAGAGGTGAGTCTGTTAAGACTGGTGGGCTGAGGTTTCCTAACAGAAATTTCAGGATTTCTATTTAGAAATCGCTCCATCCAGTCTCTTCCGGCAGCCTTTTTATCTCTAATGAAAGGATGGTTTATGTTGTTTTTTTCGGCGTAGTTGAATGCACATTGTCTTATTTCTTGAGATGTTAGTCCATAAAATATTTTAGAGAGTCTAATTATTTCGGTTACAAGTTCTTTTTCTGCATTAACTGAAAATACTGATTTTCGACCTAACACCGCGCGCGAGTTATCCCCTTTTTTCATCCGATCCTGAAGAGTAGATCTCGGTATCCCAAATCTGATGCTAACTTGACGTACACTCGCCCCGTCACTAATAGCTTTTAGTGCCGCGTTCATATTCTCAGATGACCAGGAAGCCTTTGTAGATGTTCGCAAATATTTTCGAGGCATCTGAAATACAGAATACACCTGTTAACGTGGTGATAATAGTAACGGGTGGTAATACCGGCCACAGCCGCCATTATCCTCCAGTCTTCGCCGGTATTAACCCTATATGCAGCATCAACTAAAATGGCGTTTACTACAAAATTATGCAAGGGTTTGTTTCAATGGGAATCATTTTCCTTTCACACATAGCCATAATGACAAATTGATAGCACAACAATGTTTTATTATGATAAAAGGACAGCTACACTTACCTTTAAAATAATTATTTTCTTATTAAAAACAGGATGTTTGGCGATTTTTATAAATAAAACGGCAGCCACTTATTCTATACCGTTACGAACGCGCACATTAGGTTGAGTTCTTGCACAGCGACACCTAGGGGCAAATAAAGGAATTGCATAGACAACTGTAACAGATTTCTATGGTGGCCGGAATTACCCA